CCTCAATCAGATCCATTGGCTTGTGGTCGGCAGCAAGCGTGAGCGAACACAATTCCATTGGTTCACGTGAATGCACTGCACGTAATTGTGTTCGTATAAGAATCGGTGTTTAGCCAATCCCACAAAAACCGACTTGTTTTCTTGTTCGCCACACACAACTAGTGTATCACTAAATAAGTTGAGCTGGGTGCTGTCTGTGTTCGTCCTCTTTCTACGGTCGTGCCATGTCGAACGAGATCGTCGGCCCAGGTGTGGTTTCCTAATGACTGGAGACTGATTGCGTCGCTAATTTGTCGTTCTTTCTTCCTTATCAGGTAGACTGGGAGCCTCAATATGAGAAATTACGCTGAACCAAATCGGTAGTGTGTCACAAAATCCCAGCCCCATCCTACCTCCTTTCTTTCATCTGGGGGGGGGGATGAATACGTCTCTCACTCCCCCTCCCATGTCCCGACCATTAAACCGTCAGTTGTGTTTTCATACCCCTAGCCCGATCATAAAATTCTGGCGCTCACTTGTATTATCCCAGCAGGGAGGCTGAGGTTACATTAACCGCGTCAGCTGCTCCGTGATACACACGCACAGCATTAAGTGCCCAAAATAAACGCTACCTGTGGGGACGTGCCTGACTTGACCCCCTCGTCCCACCCCCACCCCCTCAATTCGCTACTGCACAAACAGCTGTTTCACGCACGAATGGGGGTTGTTGGGGCATCGGATGCTCATCGAAGTGTAGCGTGAAAGGGGGGGGCGGGAGTTGGGACCAACTTTTGACCTCTCAGCTCGTCAACTCACGGCATTTGCATGGGTTAATAGAGGCGTTTTGTGAATATCAACATTTGTGCATACGGGATACGTGCCTGGGGTCGCCGTATTGACGAAATCGTCCTGCTGACGACGACCTCGCAGGAGTGCAAGGGTTTGAACACTTGTCCGGCGACAATGGGCCTACTGGTTCCATCGACGTGTCGTTTTAGGATCTAGACCTCGTCCGTAGCTATATCGCATTCGTTTGCATCACTCCCCTGTCTCATCGACCTGTTCACTGGAGTTCGGTTTGAAGTTACACAGCATTGAAACATGTTGGTTTAACAATCGATTTGACACTTGAATGGTATCGGTGTGTGGTGACTGGGGGCAGTATCTCAGAGGTTTATCACAACACCTGAGATTCATATTTGAGTTTCACCACCCAAATCATCGTGAGTAACCAACAATGACAATAATAACAACAACAACAACAATGACTGCGGAGTTTGCGGAGAACATTGTCCGATAAAAAGGAATTAAGGGTGCTCGGGTTTAAAATTCAAATGTTTCCAAGCAAAAGTGCTGGATTCCGTCTTCAAAAGGCGATAAATTTTGTAATTAAGATAAGTTTTTCATTAAAATCGCACAGAAAAGTTTCGGATGACTAAAATGACTGTTTAGTTGAAGGATCAGTCACGAACTAACTGATGTCGAAAACCTGGCCGTAAACGCGTACAAACTGGTGGCAAAATGGACTGAAAAGAAATCCTAAATATACTCAAAGCGACTATCCACGTCTGGCCTGTTTTGTAGCTGGATCCAGCCCAATCCCCACGATCGCTGGCGTCACCCTGGGATGGTCCGACTTTGTTCAACATGCTGACTTGCCAGTCCACACAACAACTTTCACCACAACACGGAACTTGGCCCAGTAGGTCTCGCTGTTCACTATTTTTCAAGATGTCATTGTTGAAATTTCACTGCAGATCTCACGTGGTAAAGTACTTCTCTCACTAATTTACATGTGTGGTGGTTGTGAGAAAGAGAGATAGGGGGGGAGGGAATGTGCGTCGTGTCTGGACATTTATGTGATAAGGCTTTATACTAAAACTGGTCGTTTAAATTGAGTTGAGCACACTCCCAAAGGTCAACCTCAGCGTGACGTGCCATGAGCGGGGGGGGATAGGGGTGACAGCTGAGGGTGTGGTTAAAAGCACCAGAACAGGAAGATCAGACCGCGTTCAAACGTGTTGCAACTCGCGCGTGCTTAGAAAATGATCCCATCAATTCCGGCTCAGTTTGTCACTGCATGCCTCCCTGACAGTCGGCGTAAGACGGTGAAGCATCGTGACATGGTATAACTACACGTGCCTTAACGCCTTTAAATTAACTCTCACCTAGGATTCTAACTCAGGTTATGCGCAACTCCCAAAAGGGGGGCAAAGTGGGGTCAGGGTTTACAAAATCCTGTTGGGAAATCGGTCCAACGTGACACTTTCACCAACTGCGCCTGCTATGTGCTAATTGGGTAATAATTATGGCTGGACTCATGTGCGCGTAAACGCTGTCGCCCCCGGTGGCCAATCACAGGCCTGCGAACAAGTGATTGGCCGACGCACTGTGCCAGAACCGCGCTATAAAGTATGTGACACTGCACCTTGCGTGTGCACACAGAAAGACATGTGGTCGGCTTTCGAGAAAGGCAATCCCCTCCCGACCGTGGCCAACGCCGACCAAGCCGCCTTCCAGGCGATGTGGAGGAGTGCCGTGTCGTCTGTGGAAGAGGGCGTCCTACAGAAGCAGCTCTGCGACACGTCGCTGCTTCGGCACGCGATTGTAGTCCTCTCCAGGCGGTTCGAAACACTCCCAAGTGGCTTGGTCGCTGAACCCTCGTTTCTTGCCGGATCAACTGGTAAGTTGGTGATTCCTCTCTCTCTATTGCTGTTCATAATTCCGTGCTTTTACAGATAAGTTTGAACCATCACCTACATACCCTTAAAATGTCATACGATTTCTCGGTACATACAACGGTTGCTTGCGCTTGTCTTAGTCAACGTGAACTGGAATGGCTGTTCAAGCCGTGGTTTTAAGTGATTAAATTTGGCAACGCCTCCACTGCAATTTCCAATGCCGGCCATCTGGCGTGCGCCTGGTTTGAGTACGAATTGCATGTCTAGACGTTGGGGGTGGGGGGGGTGAGGGACGGAAGAGGAACGCGGGCGACCCTTCAAGACCACCTGCCGTGCAGATTCAATCAGCACCTGTGAAGGAATATAAACGGGGAAAAAACTGATTACCACGGGGACAGTCTTCGGACCAATTTGTCATTCCCGGCACCGGATGTGTGTTCCGAGCGATCTTACTTACCCCCAGACGCCGTGGTCCACCGTCCACAGATGATTTTGTCGAAACTCCAGGCTATCACCAAGTTTAGTTCACAAATGCTCTGTGTGAAGAGTTGGATCGTGAGTGAATTTTTACGGCGTCCTGTTGCAAGTCGCAAGTGGCTGCGGTAAGGGGGAAGGTACATTATTCACGTTCCCGTGGGATCCCCTAATCCACTTCCCACGCCACTCGATTACACACAAACAGGTGTGGCGAGCAGTTCCGTGATTCATGGGGGTCCCCTTAGTCTACACGGTTTTAAACAACGACAAACGCGGCTTATGTGCAGGGCGCAGTTCAACGCGATTGTGCGCTTATTGTCGCACAGTTTGAGGTGGTTTATTGTGCGTTTTTAATTGGCTCCTGACAACTTGGTTATTCTTGCTTCAAAGACTCTGGGGGCAGTTCACCACCGTCATTTCCGAATCCCTCGCACGAGAACAGTTTCCACCAGAGCAATCAGACGTCCTGGCTCACATTGCCATTTCTGCCGGTAGTCCAACAGGACCAATTTCGGCACCAGCAACTACATCAGCAGCAGCAACACGCGTTTGCGAAAATGGAAGATCTTCAGCCACCGATGGACTTGTCGAAGGAGAAGTCGCCTAAGTATGACAAATTCTCCATCCCCCACCTCCTTGGTGAGATCGGCGATGAGAATGCAAGACCACTGAAGGCGTGTTTTGAGTGCTCGTTGTGCGGACGCAGCTACGCCACGAAGGCGGGCCTCCAACGACACCAGAACCAGTGCACGAGAAGGGCGGCGGAGGATGAGGTGGTGTGCGAGGCGGCGACACCACCGGCCTCGAGCAGTCCCGACGCGGTTGAACAAGCTTCCACCTCGCCGATGTCCATTAGCCGACAGTACACCTGCCATGTGTGCGCCAAGGTCTACTACTCCATGTCAGCACTAAAGATGCACATTCGGACACACACGTTGCCCTGCAAGTGTAGCGTCTGCGGCAAGGCGTTCTCGCGCATGTGGCTGCTCAACGGACACCTTCGAACGCACACAGGTCGGTCTGCTATTTCCCATTCCTCCTTATCCTTGAAACTACGTTACTAGTCTAGGGCGTCGGTCTTTACGTATTTCCTTGCCCTTTGGGTGTTCAGGGGAGAAGCCATTTGCGTGTCGGGTTTGCCAGCGTGCCTTCGCAGACCGTTCGAACCTACGAGCACACATGCAGACCCATTCTGAGGTGAAGCGCTACCGCTGTGAGGACTGTGGCAAGACTTTCTCGCGCATGGGCCTTCTCACAAAGCACTCGCGTGCCGGCTGCTCATCGCAGGATGTCGCCCCGGCGTCATCGATGTCGCCAGACTCACGCGTCTGGAATCCCGCAGTGTCCACGTCCATTTTCTCCTGAGTACTTTTGACTTTC